CAGGCTGAGCCACCGAGCCCGGCCTGAGGAAGTGTCTTTAAACTATCCAGTCTCCTCTCCATTCCTGATGGAGTGGAAGCTTGAATGGACTCTCCTCCAGATCTGGGGGAGAGGGCAGAGGTGGAGAAGGAGTTGATCATGTGAAATTCTCACTCTCTTAAGTTTCTTTGTCTTCTGAGAAAGGAGACAGAGCTGCTTTTCTGAGTATTTCAAGTGGGGGTCAATCTTGAACAGAAGGGTGAGTAGGCGATGGGCTGGTTCCATGAAATTTAACAAGTATTTATTGAGCGCCTGTGGTGTGCCCAGAGCTGTGCTCAGCATCACTGAGTTACAGAAGAAGTGATACAACGTGCAGTCTTTGCCCTCAAGGAGCTCACAGTCTGCTGAGGGAGACAGGTGGTGTGCAGGAAACATTAGTAAGGGCTGCCAGCTCCCAACCCTGTCTCACTCCAGCTGTTCTCTCCAGTCCTTCCAGATGTCCTGCAGGTGTCTGCTGCCCCCCCAGGGCCCCGAGGTCGCCAGGCTCCAACCTCGCCCCCACGCCTGGTGGTGCATGAGGGGCAGGAGCTGGCGCTGGGCTGCCTGGCAAGGACCAGCACGCAGAAGCACACGCACCTGGCGGTGTCCTTTGGGCGAGCCGTGCCTGAGGCGCCTGTGGGGCGGGCCACTCTGCAGGAAGTGGTGGGAATCCGGCCCGACTTGGCGGTGGAGGCTGGAGCTCCCTACACGGAGCGCCTGGCTGCAGGCGAACTGCGGCTGGGCAAGGAAGGGGCCGATCGCTACCGCATGGTGGTAGGGGGCGCCCAGGCGGGAGACGCAGGCACCTACCACTGCACTGCTGCTGAGTGGATTCAGGATCCTGATGGCAGCTGGGCCCAGATCGCAGAGAAAAGGGCTGTCCTGGCTCACGTGGACGTGCAGACGCTGTGTGAGTGCCACACCCCACCGTGGGAACTGGGAGGGGCGGTGTCTCGGTGGGCACCACGAAACTCTGGGGGCACCAGATGGTCATCGCCTGACTCCCAGGAACTCATTGCCACAGAGCGGACAGCCTTGCTAGCATTGCCTCCCTCTCCACCCATGACAGGTTTTCTCATGGGTAAATGGAGATAGGGCTGCGGCTGTGGGGTGAGATGCTGGCCCACACCCCATGGGGGCCAGGGGTGGGGGGCTTTGAGGCTGCTGCTGTCAAGGAAGTAACAGCAAGTTGGGAAACAGGGTGTCTCTGTGCCCCCTCCTGCTCCATGACACCTTCTCCCCCTGTGTTTCAGCCAGCCAGCTAGCAGTGACGGTGGGGCCTGGGGAACGTCGGATCAGCCCAGGGGAACCCCTGGAACTGCTGTGCAATGTGTCGGGGGCACTGCCCCCTGCAGGCCATCATGCTGCGTACTCTGTGGGTTGGGAGATGGCACCCGCGGGGGCACCTGGGCCTGGCCGCCTGGTAGCCCAGCTGGACACAGAGGGTGTGGGCAGCCTGGGCCCTGGCTATGAGGGCCGGCACATTGCCATGGAGAAGGTGGCATCCAGAACCTACCGGCTGCGGCTGGAGGCTGCCAGGCCTGGCGATGCCGGCACCTATCGCTGCCTTGCCAAAGCCTACGTCCGCGGGTCTGGAACCCGGCTCCGTGAGGCAGCCAGTGCCCGCTCCCGGCCCCTCCCTGTGCACGTGCGTGAGGAAGGTGAGAGGGGGCTGAGCATGGGGCCTGGGGCTTGTGGAACCCCTTTCCTTCTGTTTCCACGCCCCCCTCCCTTCATCAGCTGTCTCCATGCCCATCTCATGCCCCTCTTCTACCAAGACTAGGATTCTTGATGGCAGTTTTTTGGGGCGGTGCTTGGACAGCAGCCCTGGCCCACGCCCCCAGCCTTCACTCTCTGACCCCATGTCTGTTCTGCAGGTGTGGTGCTGGAGGCTGTGGCATGGCTGGCAGGGGGCACCGTGTACCGGGGGGAGACGGCTTCCCTGCTGTGCAACATTTCTGTGCGAGGTGGCCCCCCAGGGCTGCGGCTGGCCGCCAGCTGGTGGGTGGAGCACCCGGAAGATGGGGAGTTCAGCTCTGCTCCTGCCCAGCTGGTGGGCAGCGTGGGCCAGGATGGTGTGGCAGAGCTGGGGGTCCGGCCCGGAGGAGGCCCCGTCAGTGTGGAGCTCGTGGGGCCCCGGAGCCATCGGCTGAGATTGCACAGCTTGGGGCCCGAGGATGAAGGCGTGTACCACTGCGCCCCCAGCGCCTGGGTGCAGCATGCCGACGACAGCTGGTACCAGGCGGGCAGTACCCGCTCGGGGCCTGTCACAGTCTACCCCTACACGCATGGTGAGTGTCCCCTCACCCTCCTCACTTCCTCCCAGCCCCCACCCCTGAGCGCCTGCCCCTCCTGTCTTCTGCCCCTCCTGCTGCATCAGGTCACATGAAGAGTCTTGAAAGTCCAGCTTTCAGCCTTTCACTGCCCCCACCCAGAGCCCCCCGTGGTTGATGCTGACTTGAATGCTGAGCAGACAGGCAGTGGGCAGGGAAGGGGTGTCTGAATGGGGAGGTGGGTCCAGAGGACTTGGTGGGAAAGTGCTGGAGGCAGGCATAATGGGTGGAAGACAATGTCACCTTCTCTGAACAGAGCCATCCTCTCTCCCCAGCCGCAGACACCCTATTTGTGCCCCTGCTGGTGGGTGCAGGGGTGGCCCTAGTCACTGGCGCCACCGTCCTTGGCACCATCACCTGCTGCTTCATGAAGAGGCTACGGAAACGGTGATCCCTCACTCCCCAGGTGAGGGAGGAGAACCCCAGTCTCCTCTTCCTCGGGCTTCCCACCCCCAGTCTTGAGCTGAGCTGCTCCCTCCCAAGTCCTGCTGGGGGGTGAGGCCATGAGCGAGCCCCGCCCAGGGCGCTCTGTCCTCAGCCCATGCCACGCACTCTCTTCAGGTCTTGTGGGTGTCAACCGTCTTCCAGCCCTGCTCCAAGCCCTCTTCTGGTTGCCTGGATGCCCTCTCTTTCCGTCTGCCCATTCTTTAATTTATTGGACGTCCCCCACCCAGAGTGTGAGCCATGGCTCCCCTTCCCCACTGCTTCCCTCTCAAACGTCCCCTTCAGCCTTCTGCTCTTGATCTCATACCCATTCTATAGGGAGGCCATTCCCTGTCCTGGAATTAGTTTTTCTAAAATGTGAATAAACTTGTTTTATAAAAAGCAGGCTTGGCCGCGTCTTCCATGCTGCGAGGCTGCAGAAGGCTGGGGATGTGTGGTGGGGAGGCGGGGGAGGGGAGGCTGGGGATGTGTGGTGGGGAGGCGGAGCCTGTTCTGGATGACCCAGGCCTCTCTTCCCACCACAAACACCATCTGGCCTCCGTGGGCCATGCCACCCACCCCAGAAGGGTGCACCTGGGTTCCATCTGCTGCCTGAGCCATCAGCTGAGCCAGCTCCTGATGGGACTCCTACCTGGGGATGGCAGCATGGAAGGGGGAGGTTCCAGCTGAACTTGGTACCCCTCAGCCTTCTCCCATGTCATAGGGCAGGAGCTTCCAGGGGTTGGTGCCCTTTTGAGCGCCCCAGACTCTGCCCCACTCTGCCTGTCTTGTTCTCCTGGGTGGGCTAGTCTTGGACCCGACTCCTCCCCCAAGGCCTGAAGTCTTTTTCCTTCTGACCTTAATTATTCTGACAGCAGCAGAATAGAAGCCACAGAATATAACCGCCTGGGTGGCGGGGGCAGTAGCCATCAAGGCAGGGCCTGTGTGTCCACAGAGCTGCTGCACCTGGACACCACCCCCACCAGCTTCCCCCAATCCAGTGCCCTAGGGGCTCCCTGCATTTCCTTGCTGAAGGATTCTCTGATCCTGAAATGCTTAGCTGCACTGCACCTTCAGAGGCATCCAGTCTACCCCTTTCAATTCAATGATTTAAACATTTATTGAGCACTACTAGTTTGCTAAATGTCATTTTTACAGATGAGGAAATTGAGGCCCAGAGATGTGATGTGTGTTGCCAAGAGTCATAAAACAAATTAGCATCAGTGTCAGGACTAGAACCCAGAACTCCTGACTCTTTGCACTGTACAGTGGTGCCCTGAGTGGTGACAGTGGCGAGGAGAGGTGTGGCGGGGTCTCCGAGATTTCTGGGGGGCAGGAAGGAGCCTATTCCCACCTTGGTTTCTCTGTCCAGTGCAATAGCTGAACCACTCTGTGTGTGCGTGAATACCAGTCAGCCCACCCTTCTTGTCCAGACTCCACCTGGTTCACTGAGATTAACCCAAATGAATCCCCATTCCTCACCCTAACATCTCTTCTTGAGGGATCAGCCAATGCCAGGTTCAGGGATCTCATCTTTGACTGAGGGTGACCCAGATGGCTGTGACCTGTCTAGACTGAATAGAAAGGACCGGGACTTGGGTCCTCGGAGTGCACCCAAGTTGGGACCCCCTTTCCTGCTTCCAGGAGGCACGGTGCCCATAGGAACCCAGCGTCCAGCCTGGCACAGAGCAGACTGGGGTGCATCTCCCAGGGGCTCAGACTTGTATTAAAGGACAGGAATGGGGTGTGGTCAGGCCAAGGAAGGAGGTCCTTGGTTGGCAAGGACGCCCCTCCCTGCCAGAGGGTGGGCTCACCTGGGCCCACCCTTCTCTCTGGGAAGCCAGCCTTGGGTCCCCTCCACCCTCTGCCCCTCTCAACTTGCCACTGTGCTCCTCTCACCATTCAGGGGGCCGCCACTGGTGATGGGGTTGACACCAGGAAGTGTGGAGGTGAGGTGGGAATCCCTGTCTCCAGGGGCTTCAGACGCATCCCGATGTGTGGACCACCCTGGCTTCTCTCAGACTTTCTCCCGTTCCCAGGCCTGTCTCTCCAGTCCTTCGCCCCCGAAGCCCTTCCTGCCTGAGCTCCCCACGGTCTCCCTGGAGCCCCCTCGTCCTTCCAACCATCTCGTCCTGTCTACCTGGCCTGCTCATCTTCCCAGACACCACCTCCTGTTGTCACTGTTTCTGCTGATGGCTGAGATCCTGGGCCTGAAGTTAAACTCTTCAGCCTGGGTATCAGGTCCCCTTTCCCCACACAGCAGCCCAAGCTTCACTTTTCTTCAACCGCACTCACGAGAATCCTCAGTTTCTCAGCTTTGGCCCCATCTCCTGAGCCGACCTCTAAGCCTGCTTAGAGGGGTGGTTCTCAAAGTGTGACCTCCCATTCAGCGGCAGCAGCATGACATGAGAACTTGTTAGAAATGCACATTTTTGATCTCCACCCCAGACCTACTGAGTCAGAAATCCTGGAAGTGGAGCCCAGAAATGTGTTTTAACAAGCCCTCCAGGTGATTCTGATGCACACAGGTTTCCTAACTGCTGATCACGTCATTCCGAAGCCTTGCTCAAGCCCTAGCTCTTTGATTACCAAACCCCTCCCACCCTCAGTTCCAAGAGACTGCAGCCTCTCTCTGTCACCAGAGAAGACTCCTGTGTTCCAATGTGCCCTGGATTCCGAGACAGGAACCAGGTCTTTGAATGTCCACCCCACATGCACCCAGTGATGTGAATGACTATACCCAAGAACAAACTGCTTTCCCAGTGGCCCCCTGTGTCCCAGCTCTGTAGCCCAGCTCCTCTTAATCTCCCTCCTCTCCTTTGGTGATGCCAGTAACCCACCTCCCAGATCTCTCCCCGGCCCTTTGTCCTCAGAACCACTCTTCCTCCCTGCCTCTGCAGTGGCGCCTGTAATGTCTCATCTAGTGTCAGAAAGTAGACTCCCGGTTTCCTCTCCCAGACCCTGCTCCAGGGCCCCAACTCCGGCATCTCCCCCACTGCTTGCTTCCCTGTACCTGAGGACTAAGGCTGCCCACACCTTGCTGAGCAGCCTCCCCCCCACCGCCACCAGAGCCTCCACATAGCCGGTCAAAGTGGCAGGGGTAGAGCTGGGAGGCCCCCCCATCCATGCCCACCTCCATTCAGCTTCCTCTCCTCTGTCTCTGCCACTGTCCCCACTGGACGCACGTGCCATACACAAGCTGGTGGAGAGGCGAGGGGGGACTGCACCCCACGCCCCACTCTGCTCCCTGAGCCATGTACCCTGGTTTGGGGCTGCATCTGTGTGGAGGAAAGGGGGGCTTTCCACAATTGCACAAAGTTGCTCTACAGGTCAGTGACAGCCCTGAGTGCACCTCCCAGTCCTTCACCTGCCACCACCTTCCCATACAACCCCCAAAAGTCCATCCTTCTGTCCATCCACCCACCCATGAACAGACGTGAAGGTCAAACACAGACCAGACTGGTGTGTTCACCCTCCAGCGCCCTGAATCAGGACGCCTTCCTTCCATATTGGGGCCTGGCCTGGAGGCTCTAGGGGCCTCTCCCACTTTAGCACATTTCCAGGGCCTCGCCTGCCTCCCCCTCCGGCTCTGATATCCAGCTCCCCATGCACCTGTGTCTGGCCCCTGGTCTGCCACGGGGGTCTGGAGGAAGCTGGTCACACCTTGGACTCACTCTCTGGGGGTGGCAGGCAGCCATTCTGCTCCTTGTCAGCCCCAGCTTCCCCGCCTGCTCCCTCTCCCGCTCCCTCCTCCTCCACCTTCTCATCCAGCCGGCTGGGGATGGACCAGTAGAGATGGGCGTCCAGGCGGGCTGCAGCCTCAGCCAGCTCCCGGGCGCTGCACGAGGGCGTGGGCACCTCAAAGGTCTGGTGGAAGCTGGCATAGTCCACCTCGTAGAAACCGTCCTCCAGGGTCAGCACTGATGTGAAGCGGTGGCCCCAGAGTACCTCGTCCACCAGATAGGAGCTCCGAGCTTGGCATGTCATTCCTGGGGAAAGGGGCAGGGGTCAGGGGGATCCCAGCCCAGGCTTCCCTCTCCTGCTTCCCATCCCACAACCCTAGGCCCAGCCCCCTCCCCGTCCCTCCCCAAGGACCCCCATTCCCTGTGGTCCAGCCCAGCTTCTCCCCCTCCCCAACTCCTGTTCTTACCCAGCTCCCTGACCTCTTCTCCCTTGGCCCAGTTCCTCTTAATCTCCAGCCTGGCTTCTCCCTCCTTTCCTTTGGTGATGCCAACCAGAGATGCTTAACCTTTAAACTGTTTTGGGGGATCATCCGGGCTAACCTCCCATTCCATAAAGGGCTCCACACAGGAGCATTCCCAACGATGGACATCTGGCTTGTACCTGATTACCTCCCAGGACTGAGAGCTCACCACCTCATAGGGAGCCTGCACCTTTGTGTGATGACTCTAGTAGTTGGGCGGTTCTTCTTTGTACAGGGCTAAAATCTGCCTCCTGGATTTCCACCCCTTGGTTCCATCACCCTCCCACTTGAGTGTCTGAACACAGAAGTCTCAGATTTCCTTCATGCCTCCTCCTCTTGACTGAACATCCCTGGCTCCCTCCACCGTTCCTCATTTGACCTGGCTTGCCAAAATGTTACTTTCTTGATTGCAAACCAGAATGACCAAGGAGGGACCCTTTGAGGGTGGTCACTGGTCCAACTGTGTCCTGATCCCTGCATAAAAGAGGGCTCACTGTCTCTCATTTGACCGCAATGCTTTAACAGGGCCCGAGATTACATTACATAATTGTTTTGGAGGCTGCATTACATTGCTACGACATCAAGCCGGTGGCCAACTGAAACCTCCAGTTCTTTTTCCACCAGAGCTCTTCCATGCTGTGCTTACATAAGTGATTTTTTTAAAGCCTAAATGTAGAATTTTATATTTATTCCTTTAAAATGTCATCTTGTTGGGCTTTGGCTCATTATTCTTCCTTTTCAAAAGCATTTTGAATCCTGTCGGTCTCACCCAAAATATTACCATCCTTTCCAGCTTTCTCTCTCCAGAAAAATCAGACCAAGCACCATCCCATCCCCCGTCTTCTCCGTAGGGTTGGTGCCTTCCCAGGGCAGGTCATTCCGCTTCTGCCCCAGGGGGCAGCCCATACCCATCTCAGAACAGGGGAGAACCGGAAGGGTGAACCCGTGAGCTACCCAGTCTCCGGCTGTCAACACTGAGCACCTGGCCCGGGGACATCTTGAGGGCACACAGAAAAGGGACCGGCAGGAACATCCCTGCCGGGAGGGGCCCTGCCTGAGATACTGGCAAAAAGGGAGCGACAGCTGGAGGGAGAGAGGGACGGGGGCGGGGTGAGTGGGGCAAGGGGGACAGCCCGCTCCGCGCGAAGGAGGAACGGGGGACATCGAGGGGGCCGGGTGGAGGCCTGGAGCAGAGGCCAGGGAAAAGGCCCGAAGGCACCAGTTCGAGAGAAGCCTGCGGGAGCAACGTGAGCTCGCGCGTCGGCGGCAGGAACAGCGCCCCCTCGTGGGCCTTTGGTTTTTCTCCACCTGCGGGGTCCATACCCGCATGCACCCCCAGATCTCAAGTCCCAAGAGAGCCCGTTTCAGCTCCTACGCGCTGGTCTTTTCCTATCTGCTCCCAAACCCTCCGCTGTGTAGGTCTGAGCTGGGGGTGCTGAAGTCACAGGCGAGTTGCCACTTCCTTCTGGGAAGGGGCTAGAAATGGTAACATCATGTATTTCCCCGGCCAGTGGAAACAGAGTGTTTCCAAGGATGGGCAGACAGGCAGAAGTGAGCCCAGCCTAGCAATGACTCGGGCCATGGGAAACCTTCAGCGTCAAATTCCAGAGGCCCGGACCTGTCTGCCAAGACAAAACTCCGAGCCTAACCCCTCCTTCCAACTACTACACGCTGAAATCAGACTGCCGGTGTCCAGTCCAGGCACGGCCACTTATTGACTCACGACCGTGGGCAATTCACTTAACCTCTCGCTGGGGCAATCTCGCCTCCGAAAAGCGAGCACAATGACAAGAAGTCACCTCCAGAGGGTCCTGGTGAGGATTACGCGAACTCAGAGGTGTAAAGTGCTCTGGGACCGGGCACGACCCCGAGTGCGCACTCGGAGGGCGCGAGCTGCCAGTATTGCTCCCCGTTCCGAGCGACACGGAGCCCTCAGCCCGGCCCGGAGGATTCCTCCAGGCTTTCGCCCGGCCCTCCGCGGAGGCGCTGGGTTCAGCCTCCAGCCAGGCCCCAGCCCCGCCCCA